TGTTTCGAACGCTCTTCTCAGATCTAGCTTCGCTGCTGTTTCGAGACCCCTTTGGATACGCTCCCATGATCACCGTTCGAAGCTTCAAGCTTTGACACACTCATTCGAAACACTGCTTCTGCAATTTCGAAGCGTGGTGTTTTAATTCCATTTCGATCAGAACTTCTAGCTCTTTTTGAATTCTAAATAACACTATCAAAATCTTCAGCCAACAGTATGCCACTACTAGTTACCCACTTGCAACCAAAGATAGGAATCCGAAACTTCTCATAATCAAACACCCAAATATGCTCGATAAACCCAAAATATGACAAATTTTCATATTTGGGGTTTAGGTCTTTCATACTTGAAATGTGCATTGCTTAAGCAAGCACGGTAACACCACTATTTTGCATAGTACTTTTATCATCTTGTTCTTTAGTATAAAATGTGTATCCATTAATTGTGTATGCGCTATAAGAAAACACATGCAAACTTGGACCATATGCCAAACATCTCAACCTTTCTATTATTGAAGCGGGATCTGAATGAAGCTTTGAAAAACTATGATCCTTAAACCATGGTATAAAACTTTGATTGTGCTCCCGTACTATCCAATTTTCGTCTCTATTCTTATTTAACCCTCGGAGTATATCCTTGTGCATTTCAACATATGGCTCAACCTCACTGTCATTGTGCAGAACATACAAATGAACTTGATCCCGTTCATCTTTTGATACTGTCACAATTTTATTTCCAATTAATCTTTTACCTTCTTTTTTTTTCAAAAATATGACTTTTGGGGAGTCCAGTGGATTGAACTTTGGACAAATATTCAGTAAAAAACTCAACCGCTTCTTCAACAATGTATCGCTCAACAAAACAACCCTCTGGGCGACTTCGGTTTTTCACGTACCCTTTTAATACTTTTATATAACGTTCAACAGGGTACATCCATCTCATATAAGCTGGTTCTCACAACTGCGTCTCTTTCACAAGATGAACAACTTGATGTACCATTATGTCAAAAAATTAGGGAGGAAAATACATTTCAAGCTCACACAAAGTAATAACAATTTCTTTTTGCAATGTTGATAAGATCTTAGGATCAATCACCTTACTACAAATTGACCTAAAGAAAAAACACAACTTAGTTATCACGCTCCTTACTTTATCTGGAAAAATAGAACGTATACCTATTGGTAGAAAATGCTCCATTATAACATGACAATCATGTGTCTTTAAACTCTTTAACTTGAGGTCTTTCATTGACACAAGTCTTCTAATATCTGAAGAGTATCCTTCTAGAACTTTAACTTCACTTAGAAACTTACACAATATCTTTTTCTCCTTTCTAGATAGAGTAAAAGCAGCATGTGGTAGATATGTTCGGCTTCCTTTCTTCACGGGTCCTAGTTCAGTTTGTATTCCCATCTTTAACATGTCCTCCCTTGCTTTAAGGTCATCCTTAGACTTTCCTTTAATATTGAGTAACGTACCAATAACACTTTCAAATAATTTTTTTTCAATATGCATAACATCGAGAAAATGTCTCACATACAGAGACTTCCAATATGGCAATTAAAAAAAATCGATCTCTTCTTCCACCCACCTTTGACAACCATATGCGCAAAAGGCTTGCCAAACTGAGTACACACATCTTTCACCTTTTCAAAAATTTGGTCACCTGACAATGCATGTGGAGCTTTACGTTGTTCGGTGTCTCCATTGAATGCTTTTCTCCATGCACGATAGTGATGTTTAGAATGTAAGAATCTACGATGTTCGAGAAACACATTCTTCTGACAAAGTTCCAAATGCGTCGTATCGGTTCCATCTTCACAAACAGGACACGCACGTTGACCTTTAATGTTATACTCCGATAGATTCCCGTATGCTAGAAAATCATTAATTGTGCCAAACAACATCGCCCTCAAATTGAAACTTTGTTTCCTATATCCATCATAAACCTCCACCCCGTTCTCCCACAAAATCTTTAAATCTTCGATCAAAGGTGTCAAGTATACGTCTATGTCATTCCCTGGTTGTTTAGGCCCAGATATTAACATAGATAACATCATGTACTTATGCTTCATACATAGCCATGAAGGTAGGTTATAAATCATAAGAATCATAGGCCATGTGGTATGTGAGATACTTTGTAGACCATGCGGGTTCATTCCATCAGTAGATAAAGCCAACCGAAGGTTTCTTGCTTCTTCTCTAAAATCAGGATAATCATTATCAATTTTCGACCACTGTGGTGAATCTGCCGGATGTCGATACTTTCCATCAATAATTCTTTCATCTATATGCCAAGTAAGGTGTCTTACATCGGTTTCACTACGAAACATTCTCCTAAATCTCGGAATTATAGGAAAATACCATAAGACTTTTGCTGGAGACAATTTTTTTCTTAAATCGAGACAAACCGCATTTAGGGCACTCATTTAACGATGCATATTCGTTTCGAAACAAAATGAAATCGTTTGGACAAGCATGTATCTTACCATAGCTCATGCCAATAGAGCACAACATTTTTTTGGCTTCATAGTTTCGATTAGGAAGAACATTATCCTCCAGAAGCATATCTCTCATAAGGGCTAATAACTTTGTGAAACTTTTATCTGATCATCCATTGCTCGCCTTTAAGTTGTACAACTTTAATACCGCATACAGTATTATGAATTTAGTGCACCCTTTATACAATGATTTCTCTACATCGCTAGCCAATCTCTCAAACATTTTGGGACAATCCTGAAGATCTTCTTCAAGTGCATCTGCAATCTCTTCGACTCGATCAAAATCGTATGTATCTGTGTCCTTGTCGTCTGAAGCATAGGCCGTACTACTTTTCTCCCCCGGTTCAACGTTGTCATTACATTTATCACCGTGAAATATCCAACACGTATGACTTATATCAATTCCACGCATTAGTAAATGCGGTTTCAATCCATCTGCGTTAACCCGACCCACATAACAACAACCCAAGCAAGGACACTTCATTCGACTGGGGTCTTTGGCGTGTTCAACAGCAAACTTAACGAATTTCAATACCCCACTCTCGTACTCTTGTGACAAACGATCGGCAAACATCCATTTTTTATCCATTTTTTCTACTTATTCAAGTAAACAAAAACACTATAAACAGATTATTCTCTTTTTGTTTAAATTAAACGAATTATTTCTAGAAATTTATTTCTAGAGTTAATAACATGGACTAAAAATAAATATATCTATATAAAAATAATTGTGTTTTTTAATTGATCGATACAGATAGAATTTGAACTTGACTTACCAAAGAAAGAAAAGGGGCTATTGGTGTCGACGACGGATGATGCGACTTTGATGTTCTTCGAATCGGTGATGGTCTTCGACTAACTACACGAATACAAAAGGATCATCAAAAACAAGTTGATATATATATATATATATATATATATATATATATATATATATATATATATATATATATATATATATATATATACTAGTTTATGGAAAATATAAACATGATAAACAATTCAGAAACCAATTAAAATAACAAAAAAACCCATCATATATATCATCTTTTTTATTCCAAAATATAGAACCAAAAGAAAATGCAATAATGCTAAATGCTAAAAGTGTTGCTGTTATATATCAAGCCCTACCAAGAACCAAAAAATGAAAATGCATACATATAACCCAGTTTAGACATCAATAGGAGGATAATGTCTTAGATGTTAGCATAGTACATTATCAAGGAGGATAACTCAATTTGGACATCAATGGAGATAAAGACATTTTCAATAAAGAACATACCTTGAGAACCGACCGGTGTGGGTGGAGAAAAACCGAGCGAGACGGTGGAGGATGGTGTACGACGGCGAAGGATTTGAGACGAAGGAGGAAATGGGTTTCACTCACTGTTGAAGGAGGGAAAGGGTTTCGCTAGCTTCTGTATTCGTGAATTGAAACAAATTCTATTTTTTTTTTAATTTTCACTTATAAGGGTTTAGACAGCGCTTTCTAAAAGCGCTGGCTAATATGGACCTATAGCAGTGCTTATGAAAAGCGCTGGCTAATAGTGTCCTTTAGCAGCGCTTTTCTAATTTTTTTTTTAAAAAATTTTTATGACTTTAGACAGCGCTTTCTTAAAGCGCTGTCTAAAGTGGACCTTTACCAGCGCTTATGATAAAGCGCTTTCTAAAGCAATCCTTTAGCAGCGCTTTTTAAAAGCGCTGTTTAAGGTCATATGTTTAGCAGCGCTTTTACTAATTATTTTATACAGGTTCCGTGTTTTTTTTTAATTCACTCATAGCAGCGCTTTTGTACAAAAGCGCTGTCTAATGTGCGCTGTTAAAAATCACTTTTGGCGTAGTGGATCTTTTCTCTGCACTTTGAATCATGAAAAATGGTTAAGAATTGACAGAGAAACCAAAGTCTGAAAGTCGTATGTTAGATCTGGAAATTTGAACAGGTTTGAAAGTTTGCGATCAGTGTTCTAGCGGTTATTTGGTTAGCTACGACTTGGAGCCTTTGGTTGAAGCGTAATGCGATCATCTTTAAAGGCGGGAGATTTAGCTTTGAAGAGTGTATGTCAGAGATTGTCGTTAACGCGTGGAAGTGGTTAACCTCGTATTGTAAAATTGTGAACTCTTGTGACTTTCATGTTTGGAATATCCTACCTCTCCTTTGTTTTAGGACGTAGGGGTTTTCCGTTTGCCTTTCTGGTGGAGTATCCCTTATACTCCCTTGAATGATTTTATTGCCTATGAAAAAAAATATTAGTTGTCTGCATTGGAACATAACTGCTATAGGAAAACATGTGTGGGTGATAGCAAATAAAAAAGATAGTCTTTGGGTGAGATGGGTTCATCATGTATACATTAAGGATGACACCTGTGAGGATCACAAAGCATTCCCCCAGAGCAGTTGGTACTGGAAGGAGATTTTCGATGTAAAAGAGAAGATTAAGGCATGCACGAACTTGCATTAATTTCTCATCGAGGAGTATAACATAAAAAAAAGGCTGCAAGATGTTATTTGGAGATTTAGATAAGAAGCAGTGGGCTAAGTTTGTGTGGGAAAGATCTAATATTCCAAAACATAGATTCATTTTTAGGTTGGCAATACAAAACAGGGTGAAGATAAGAGATAGGCCGAAGAAGATTGGTATAGTTGATAATACTGAGTTCATGTTGTATGGTGATCAGGAAGAAACTACCCAACATATTTTCTTTGATTGCAAGTACAACGCAAGATGCTTAAACCTTGTCAAAAGCTGGCTGAATTGGAATGCTCAAATAATCAACTTGCAGGATGTTCTTAGATGGCTTGATAGGGCCAAGATAAAAAGATTCAAGCGCTCGGTTTATACACCCACAATTGCTGCTATGGTGTACCATATTTGGATGTATCAAAATGATGTGCTAAGGAATAGTAAGCTTCAGATTCCGAAAAAAACTGTCTAGTGTGTGACTGAGTCGGTAAAAAACTGCATTTTTGTAGTCTAGCCCTTGAAGGGTCATTGGTGTATGTATTTGACTGTTAGTTTGAAATAATATATATAGCTTCTGATTTATAAAAAAATACCAGTTTATTTATATTTTTATTTTATTTTTATCTACTCTAATATATAATTACTCTAAAAAATTTGTTAATTTTGAAATTGGAATTCACTCCTTAGTTTGATTTTATCAAAAAAAATTAAACCCCCAATTCTAAATTTGGAAAGATTAGTATTTAATAAATTAAAGAACAATATTAACCATTAATATTATTATATTATTATTATTAATATTATTATTATTATTATTATTATTATTATTATTATTATTATTATTATTATTATTATTATTATTATTATTATTATTATTATTATTATTATTATTATTATTATTATTATTATTATTATTATTATATTTGCACCTAAAATTACTTTAGTTGTTAGTAAAAATGACAAATAAGAATAATGAATGTTTAGAAAAACCAATGAAAGATTAGTGGAATTAGTGTAATTGGAGTTCAAGTGGACCATTGATGAATAGGGTTGATAGAAAAATAATTAGTGTATTTTGGATGGTCTCCATTTGAAGTATTTGGTTGATGTGAAACTCTATTCTTTTCAATGGAAGTCTTTAGTTTTGATGAATGTTTGACGTCGATCAAATATTGGTCTAAGAGCTGGACGAGATAGCTTGTAAATAATATTTTTCTTGTACTTTTTATGATTGTCATATTTTATTCCTTCTATTATTTAGGAATATTGGGTAACTTGTGTTGTTTGTAATAGGTTGAAGTATCCCTATAACCCTTTTATTAAATCATTGCCTTTTTAAAAAAGGTGGATAATTTATCTCACATAAGTCATAACTAGTGAAAACCAATTAAAAGTGGGTCAAATATTTCTTATATTTTCTTTAATTTAGTAATTTTTTTTATAAGCAAGATATATTAACTATTAACTATGAGTATCAGGGGTACTCTTCCCACTTACAAAAACAACATTCTATTTTATCTGACCTAAAGGAAACTTACACCATTCATAAAAACTACACACCATACTCCTCTTAGAATCAATGATGAACCATAGCTATGAAATTAATTTTACATTTAATACCACATCACTGATAACACACTTCTGGTTTTGGAATAAATAGTCATTCCTCATTCTCCACAAACACCATAAAGTTTGTAACACCTGAAATCTCGAAACTTATGAAAAAAAGATCACTCGACAATTTAAGGTGTCAATAACGACAACCATTCAAGTACAACAAAAGAATTTAGAAGCCTTACAGTGAAATCATAAATCATACAACACTTATCATCATCTACTCACATTCACTTAGGGTATCATCGCAGTGGAATCACATTAATCATAGTAATAGAACATATTGACTTCAATTTTGGTTTTATAAAGACTTAACTTTCATAAATGATTCAAAAGGGAGTTGTAATATCCAACTCTCACAACATATTAAACTCCAACAAAACGTCATAATTAATTTCGCACAAAACAAAGAAAATATCGTTCACCTCCAATTTTACAAAATCAGAACATTGTGACTAAAATACGATGAATTAATGAAATTACTTCAAGAGATATTTCTCACTAACAATAACAACTTTACTCCTTGATATCTGCAAGAGGTCCATGGTGGACAACATGAAAGCGAAGGGGTGAGAATTCTTATACATAATTGAAAAGGAAAAAGTTGCAAGGTAGAAATTCAAACATCTACTCATTCAACAAACAATAACATAACATCATGTCACAATAATATTCTCAATGACTTTGTGTCGTGATTTCTTGATAATTTACTGGTGATTTTTTTCCCATGAGTAACATGATGTAGTGTGATGTATGATCTTTTCTCTGCACTTTGAATCATGAAAAATGGTTAAGAATTGACAGAGAAACCTAAGTCTGAAAATCGTATGTTAGATCTGGAAATTTGAACAGGTTTGAAAGTTTGCGATCAGTGTTCTTCACACGTAGTTTTCTCATTTGTTTTTGAGTCATTTTCGAAAATTATGGATGTTAGGTGATAGTACTCCATGAGATCTTTAATTTGATCCGAGTTTTATTCATTTTCATGAAAGAATAAGGAAGATATTGCATCTTAAAATTGGTATAGTAAACTGATTTCTAAGTTAGGATTCAGTCAGTTTGGAGGAGACGATGACGTATCCCCTGATAATTGTACACGGTGAAAACTTTTCACAGCGCATTTTAGATAGAATAGTTGTGGTATATCTCTTTATCTTTTATTATTAATTCATTTTATTTGTTTTTGACAATTCTACTTTAAATAATTTTTTTTATTCAAAAATTACAAAAAAAATATGAAATTAATATAGTTTTAGTCTATTTTCTGGTTTTGAATTTTACTTTTTTGTTTTTACTATTTTTACACAATTAATTAATTCAATTAAGTTTAAATACGTTTTAATCATATCTCATGATTTTGATTTTCGTTTTCCACTTTTCATTAACCTAAAAATATCATGAAAATAATTTGAAATATATATTGAATCCACTTCTTATAAATATTTTTTTGTCTAAATTTACAAAATCCGTGGCGTGCAATTTAAATGATTTGATTGGATATGTCATTTTCTTTACTATTTTGGTTATTTCTGTGTAAATAATTGTTGTTTAAATTCTCCTCTTGGGATAAAATTCTAAAAAAATGGTTTTACTGACCCTTAGGTATTGTGCTATTTGTCTTTAATTTTTATTTTTGTTTTTATTTCAGTTTGCTAGCTTTTCATAATTTTGGAAGATACTTGCTATTTTTGGCCCCTATGATTGCTTAAGCCTCGAGAAAAATTTAATCCACTATTCTTTCTTGCTTCTAAAAATCAAATAAAATATGTCTTAAGATTCTGATTGAATTTAGATCATTTAAATTATTTTTGTAAATTTTTTAAGTTTGGATTCACATTTAATCTAAATTAATTTGTGAAACATGTCTAATTTTTGTTGGAAATCCACCAATACTTTATGATGAATTTCGACCACCACTGATGATTAGTTATGAGACAAACAAATAAAAGAACAATGGAGATATTTCTGCAGAATTTCTATTCTGCCCACAAACTGTGGAATCTTTATTAATTCACTTTGCAACTGCAAAATACTGTGAATGACTTGATTACAAAATAAGGGTTACTCCCTCTATTTATAGATTTAGGTTAGCTTGCTCCCTAAGCTAAACCCAAGCCCAAAATATCTCTTTACTAAATCAAATCTAATCTAGATTTAAATTCAAATCTATTTAAATCTAAACAAATCAAATCTTCTTTTGACACCTATGAATTACAATTTAACACACCACCTAATTCATTGTGTCTAAACTGTCTATGTTCATCATGACCCTTAGCTTTCTGAATACTTCGACTTGCACTCCCTTCGTCATGATGTCTGCAATCTGATTCTCAGTTCTGCAGTGTTCCAAATTCATCTTCCCATCTGCTACCTGCTCTCGAAGATAATGGAACCTCATTTCGATGTGCTTACTTCGACCATGTGCTATTGGGTTCTTCGCCAGGTTGATAGCTGACATGTTGTCTATCTTCATGGTAATTGCTCCATGATTTTTCCCTGTTATCTCTTCGACCAAGTTCACCATCCAGGTTGCTTGGCATGCACAAAGAGAAGCAGCTATGTATTCTGCTTCGCATGATGATAATGCTACTACTGGTTCTTTTCTCGAACTCCAAGCAATTGTTGCACCACCTAGCATAAACACATATCCTGCTGTTGACTTTCGATCTTCAGCATCACTACACCAACTCGAATCAGTGTATCCCACTAACTTGCATTCTTTTCCTTTATCAACTGCAGGAAACAGAATGCCATAATCGAAAGTTCCTTTGAGATACCTTAGTATCCTCTTCACAGCTTCTAGATGTGATACCTTTGGCTTCTGCATGAATCTACTTACCATACCTACACTGTATGCTAAGTCAGGCCTTGTATGACAAAGGTATCTCAATGATCCAATAAGTCTTCTGTATTGGGTTGGATCAACATCATCTTCATCTGCATCTTTCGACAGTTGCAGTCTTGGTTCTGCAGGTGTCGAAGTTGAGTTGCATTCTTCCATCTCAAACCTCTTGAGAATTTCTCCTGCATATCTTCTTTGATGCATCATCAAACCTCTACTGCTTTTGTAGAATTCGATACCAAGGAAATATGAAATCTCACCCAAATCAGACATTTCGAATTCCTTGCTAAGATCAACTTTGAAGTCTTCGATCTCATTCTTGCAGCTACCTGTTATCAACAAATCATCTACATAGAGACATAGTATAAGCAATTTACTCTTGCTTCTTCTTACATATACTCCATGTTCAATTATGCACTTCACAAATTCCTTCTCCCTTAGAAAACTATCAATTTTCTTATTCCAAGCCCTTGGAGCTTGTTTCAAACCATACAGGGCTTTATGTAGCCTGTACACCTTTCTTTCTTCGTCATGTTTCACAAACCCAACTGGTTGTTTAACATAAACTTCTTCTTCTAAGGGTCCATTTAGGAATGCACACTTCACGTCCATCTGACATATGTGCCAACTGTTGATTTCTGCTAGACCAACAACCAACCTGATTGTTTCGATCCTAGCAACAGGTGCAAAAACTTCGTCGAAGTCTATTCCTTCTTTCTGTAGAAATCCTTTCGCCACAAGTCTTGCTTTGTGTCGAGTTATTTCACCTTTCGAATTCGTCTTCACTTTGTATACCCACTTGACATCAATTGCCTTCTTGCCTTGAGGCAATTCGACAAGTGACCAAGTGTTGTTGTCTTCGATAGACTTTACTTATTCGTTCATTGCTTTCACCCACTTCGAATCCTTTAATGCTTCAGCTGCATTAACAGGTTCGACATCTGCATAGAAAGCATAATGTACCAGCTCACCTTCATCATCTATTACATCATCTGATGTAATCACACAATCTTGCA